ATACGCATTCCTTACTTAGAAAATATGGGACATTCTGTAATATCAAAAAGACATTGGAGGAGTTAAAGTGAATTTAACGTTTCTTCGTGTTGCAAATTTCATTGAATTCTATGTGTGTATCGCCGCAAACAAAGCGATCAGAGAGGCTGCTTTAAAACAGTTCTGCCGCTGAATTCAGACCCTAGAAAGGGTAGAAGGGGGGACAGAGTGGGCCTACATTGATCAGTCATTTCCCCAACAAACAGCCTCCTGGTTCCGTGTTCATAGTCTCCAAATAAATCAAACCCTTTATCAGCAGTGCAGCAATTTTTATGCTAATACGAATATTCCAATTTTGTTAAGTACGTAGAAGTTAACATGGGTACACTGTCACGCTTTTTGCATTAGCCACACGTGCGTTAAGCTCCCAACGTTTCGGTTATGGACGCTTGGCAGAGAACAAGACGTGATTTATTTGCGTTTAAAAACTTACGTATATTTATTGCCGGGTCCTTTACCCTCTGCTTACCTTTTCTTTATGAAGCTTGTTGCAAATTAGCGGCGTGACGTATAGGTGAACGTCACGTGACGAGTGCTTCTGAATTAACTAAATGAACTTTATGTTTATTCACGTTTAACGTGCTGAAGTGACGGCAGTGTTCTAAGCTTAATAGAAATGTCACAATTGAGGACATCGGAGAAGTTAGTGTCGTCTTAATTCCCTTCCTCAATTTCTATCTGGTTTAATAAGAGTAAAACAATTATAATTCTGACCTAAGCCAACAGTAGGCACCTTATAAGAGCGAGGATTTTTCGTTGATTGAAATAAAAATCCATTACCATTCATCACACCTATGACGTAGAAGCGAAAGTGGTATCGATGTTTACAATTAAAATTTTACGTATCATCTACAGATTGTAGAATAAAATCATTTTTGTAAAATAGGATACTGGTGGGAAAGCCAGTAGGAATGAGCCCACTAGGAGACCATGAAGCAAGTGGGTGAATAATATTAAAATGGATCTTAAAGAGATAGGATGGGGTGGTATGGATTGGAATGATCTGGCTAAGGATAGGAATGAGTGGAGGGCTCTTGTGAACACGGTAATGAACCTTCGGGTTCTATAAACCACAACTGACAGCCCCTTAAGAAGGGCTCAGTTCCGTGAAGTGATCATGATGCAGCCCAAGCTCTGCTTGCTACCTGCATCACGACAGCTTCTTGCTTGGCTTATACTTCGGCTCTGAAGATGGAGGCGTCACGTTTCTCTGAAGCCTCAATTTGCCTTCAACGCGCCACACACCTTTATATCCCAGCAGAAAAAAAAATCTTCATAATCACCGCTGTGAGTACCTCAAATCCTACGTAGCCAATAAATCCTAAATAACTGTACATAGCTGATCACGCCAGTAAACAAAGAAACATACTTTTTAAAATAGGAGGAAATTATGCTAAAGACAATATTTGTACGTATGATAAAGGAAGTATAAGACAGAAAATTACATAATTTCCACTACTCACTGGGCGCCATTAGGCTGAAGAAATCAATAATTAAATATGAGAAACATGTAGCACAGACAGTGGAAATAAGAAAAAACAGTTGGAAATTATGAAAAGACGGTAATATTATGTAGGACGCGAACGTGTGAATTGAACTTGAGTGACATAGGATAGGGTCCAGTGGCGGGTTATTGTAAACACAACAATGAAATTTCGGGTCCCATAAAAATGGGAGTGGGGTACGGCCCTGATGAGTTTAGAAAATATTAAATTCTCAGGAAGTATCTACACCATGGAAGGAGATGGTTCATTAAAACTGCACATAAATTCAAAATACCTTTATCCTAAATTAGTTTGTGTACCCAAAGATCTAGCTATTTTATCTTAAAAAGGCTCCAGGTAAGCTCAGAAACGCTCTCTCGCTTAATAATATTCAGGATAAGTCACTAAACTGCAACACATCAACTCAGATGTAAATTACCTGAAATATATTTTTAGCTAATCTTTTGTAAATTCTAACTTGCAGGGAAAAAATCAACACTTATCGCAAGAAATTCCTCGGTTTCCCTCATCTGGAACAAATGATATGCTAATTAAGTAATAATATATTTAAACACCCTGTTGAAATGGTTAATCATCTAATTCTCAGGGGCAGTCTCGGGGGTGCAACTTATTATCGTGTTCGTAGACTCGTGGTGTGATACGCCGGCATATATTACAGTTCTTTGTGTTACAACATGTGTCCTTATAAGATCATCAACAGGTGCAGTAACGATTCACCATCCACGAAAACCACACATTACTACGTCATGCTGAACATCAACCTCGTAAGCAACACAGCCGCTCAGTTCCATAAGAAGTTTCCAAACACAACTCACACTACGATCCAAAGGAGTATAGAGCACTAACAATCTATCTATGGCTCTACAGCACTTGTGGATCTTGGACGTTTTTTTTAGTTTCTTAATCTGTACACAGTCGGTAGGACTCCTTGGACTGGGGATCAGTCGTTCGGAAGGCCGCTACCTACACAGAGTATAAACGCAAACAGCGTTCAAGCGAGTGATGACAGTCCACACCTTAGACCGAGTGGCTACTGTGACCGGCGTATAGACAACTAGCAATATAAAATATCAGATTATAAATTAAAAAGCTTGTAATTAAGTTAAACAAAATTCAGCAATAATTGAGGCTTACTTTAACAAAGATTTAACAATGTTTTAGAACAAAGAATTAAAAACAGTGCAGTGCAGTAACTACCCATGTAATGTAGGTGACAATGACCTTACAAGATCGAAACATATTGCAGAAGGAACTAAGACGCATGACTACAAAACACACAACCAGTCTAAGAACACGACAGGAAGTTGCACATCGAAGACTGCCCCAGCGAATTAAATGGTGAATAAATAGTTGTTTTAAGCAGAATGCATACATATCTTATATACAAAGCGAAACACTGATATGCAATCATTACAAGCGCCACCGAATATTATATTGGAGGATCATGTGGTGTTTAGTAGCGTTAATACATGAGTTTCCTCCGGCACGACTCTAAATAACTGTACAACTACATAAATGTATGCGTCCCTTTTTATTGCCACAGGTAAGCAGTATGATGACGGCTAAGCAGACCGAAAGGTGTCACAATAAGGAAGGCGCATATGGTTGTAAGCAGTTATATTACACAGAACTTCATATTCTAGAAGTTCAGTGTCACACCATTTGGTCTGTTTAATGAAAGAGATCCAGGATTTCTTTCATAATATTTTCTTACAATTAACTGTTCTCAGTGTCTGACAGCCAGCTTCTGGGAACATAATAAACAACAGACCGTGGAAGCCCATAGGGTTCTGGGACGTAGAGGCTTTCACATTTTCTAGGAAATCGGCTCAGAGCTGGAGGTGAGGTTATCAGCCTTACGCGCCGGCTGCCCTTTAGACCCCAGGAAGATTCCTGGTACTCATTTCTATTAGAGGCTGAGTATACCCCAGGGCCATAATGCGGCTGGAAGGATTAGGTCAATTGAAAAATCCAATGACCTCATCGGGAATTGAATCCGCGATCTTCCGGCATGTAACATAGTGTCTCAACCAACTACTCTACTGCGTGCCCCTCTGGGAACTTAGTAGGATAGGAAAACAAACTGGAACTATATAATGCATACTATTCCAGCACGGGGCCGGTCACGGTAGCCGAGCGGTCTAAGGCATGTACTGTCTTCACTCGCTTGGAAAACCGGGACCGTGGGTTCGAATCCCACTCAGGGCATGGATGTTTAGTTTGTGTGTGTGCGTTTTTCTGTGTTTGTGTACAGGTAGAGGCCTTGCGATGAGCTGATCACCAGTCCAGGAGTCCTACCGAATGTGTAAGATCTAGAAAAGCCGAAGTGAACGGAGAAGTTCATGGAGGTAGGCCTAGGCCAACTGGGGCTGTAGTGCCAAGGAAAAAAAATCCTGCACGGTCTACTCTACCTCTGTTCTCTATCACCAGCTTGATGACTCATTTTCATGTTGATACTAATGAGGAAAGTTAAACGGAAAAGATAATAACTTCTTTGTAACCAATGATGAGTGTTATTTCTGCCTAAAAGGAACACTAATTGAAAAATTATATAGCAGGCTCTTCCAAGCCCATGGTTATGGCTTCTCGTAGGCAGTCCAGCAAGTTTAAACCGTTCTAAACCTGTCTCACTCTATAAACGAACCTACCAAGCGACCTTAGACCGCTCGGCTACCGTGACCGGCAACCAAGCGACCTATTAATAAAAAAAAATTATTACTACATCATTTCAGGGAGCTATGAAAGTAGCCTAATTATTGATTATTTGTCATTTTAGGTCTCCATTTTTAGTTCAAATGATCTCTTTCCATATTTACGAAACAATTTTTTTTCTTCTGGCGCTAAAGCCCCAGTTTTGGCCTCGGACTACCTCCATGAAATTCTCCGTTTCACTTTGGTTAACTAGATCTTAGACATTCGGTAGGACTCCTTGGGCGGGAGGTCAGCTCGCCGCAAGGTCTCTACCTGTACACAAACACAGAACTCAAATATGCACACAAACACTAAACATCCATGTCCTGAGTGCGATTCGAACCCAAGATCCCGGCTTTCGAGCGAGCGAAGACAGTGCATGCCTGAGACCGCTCGACTACCGTGACCGACTTTACGAACAATATTACTTAAAAATTTCTAAAAATTGACATCTAAGACTCCATATGTACTCTCGACGTTCCTTCGTTATGTCTCTCATTGCTATTGGTGGGGCCTCGGGCTGTGCTTAATACAGTACGCAAGATGTAACGAGAGCTGTCTTTTTAAGGAAGGGATTTTTGTTCGTCAACAAAGTGTATAATGAACAAAGTATATTTTAAAAATAAAACTAAAATTAAATATACCAATGCGAAATAAGGCAAAAAATGAACCTGTCTCCCACACTCACCTCATGCCACTCTCACCAGTTGCCACTTACACTGCACCTCTCATTAATTCTCTCTTTGTGTTCACGAATTGTTACAGGTGTGGATGGAGGTGGGAGATGCGCAGTGTAGGCAGGGGGGGAGGGCAGACTTCCAACTTCAATCCACATCAGCTGTGTTCATGCTTTCCCTGACGCGACTGAACTTGCCCCATAATGAGAATGTCAAGGTAAGTAAGTCTCCCAGAACATGCCTTGTCACAAGTCTAAAACCTCTAGGAACATAAAATTATGACTTAAAATGCTCTTTGCTGACTGGCATATCAGAGCTTTATATCTACAGTTCGTGATTTTGTTTGTACAGTCTTAATTTGGCGGCCTATTGAGTGAAGTACTGTATATATCGAGAGTGTTTCAGAAGAAGTGTTGAAATTAAAAAAAAAAAAAAAGACTGAACAAAACTAGGGTACGAGTTTTGTAACTGTTACTCCCCAGCTAGTATTCCTGGGATGAACAATAACATGAGTGGGAAACGTAGAACCTACTTAGGCATAGATGACATTAAGAAACTTAAACACAGCTTACGTAAATATGTTACGAATAAAAGCGGCTCTGGCTACAGCCCAGTGGAGTAGACATTTAGGTTCCATAATGGCGGGGAATTTCTTTTCAGCTGAAAATTTTGAAAGGAAGCTTCAGTACCAAAGAGTGAGAGATTTTCTTAGACAATCAATGATATAAATTTCTTTAGCATAATCTGAAACATGAAGAGGCATAAACATTGTTTACTCTGAAATCACCTTATTGTGCAAGCGGTAGCGTAGTTGGTTGAGGCATTATTCTACAAGCCGGAAGGTTGCGGGTTCGAGTCCCGATGAGGTGGATTTTTTCAATTTGCCTAATCCTTTCAACCGCACTATGGCCGTAGGTTCGACTCAACCTCTAACAGAAATGAGTACCAGGAACCTTCGTGGAGGGTAAAGAGCGGCCGGTGAGTAAGGCTGACAACTTTACCGCCATTTGTGAGCCGACTGCCTAAAGAAAATGTGGTAGCCTTGACGTCTGACAACACTACAGACCTTCGCGTCCTGTTACAGGGATAGCTTTATCTTTTTATCAACTTATTCTAACCACATGTAGAAAATAACAGAAAATATGTAGCCTATACAATATTTCCTATTTCATAACAGGGGAATTATTTAATTAAATTAAGGAATATGATTAATTTGTATACTGCACGAATGACTATGGCGATCAAATTGGGGATACTGAAAATGGAGAGGCACGGAACACACAGGGGAGAGATGAGAGATGCAAATCAAATTTGCTTGGAAAATAAGTAGGGAGCATAGTCTACCCCTCAGGAGATCTAGACACACATATAATATATGTACAGGAGGATATTAATATCAAATAAAAAATATATTTGAAAATATGAATTGGATTTCTGTGACCATGAAGAGTAATCCTTAGGTCCCATAAACCCCGGGAAATTCATTTTCTATCTGAAGGAGTATTAGATTTTTAAGAACTCAGGTCCACTAAGTCAGTGTAATTATGTATTAGTTCTGAAATACTTAACAGTAAGAGCTCGCGGGCAGTCAGCACATGAATTGTGATTATGGAGCTCCTTTCACGTATTCAGTTTTTATTACTGCTGTTGTAACCAACGTTTATGGGCTCTTGACTGAAAAAAACCTGAAATAACAATTAAAGTCTTGTACATTACGCTTCGGAAGCCACTACACACATCTCAAAGGTCCATTCCATATGTTTATCTCTGTCTAATCAGGCCGTCACTAAATTGGGTAGTAATTTTCGTTGGTATGCTGCGATTGTCATCTGCCATTAAGTTTCTCAGTTGAGCAACGTAGCAAGACACTGAGTGTCGGCGACTGCTTCGTCCTTCACTGCCATTTATGCCGCATGTGAATTTCAAAATCATCAGTTTCCTCTTCCCCTACAGAGGTTCATTCCTTCTCCTGAGCACGACATACATCGAGAATATTGTTACGCGCATAGTAAAGTCGCCAGTGTATACATTTAATTTTATGATATCTGATTAAAATTCAATCCATGTTGTATGGAACATATTTGGCTTGGTAGTTCTTAGATTAATAAGTAACAGTTAGATTCTGTCAACAGTAACAATAATGCGAAGTAATTTAATCCTGACCTTTCCATTTCCTTGCCTTACCCCTAGGTTGAAATGCAAAAAATTTCGTTCTGCCCTTATGTCCGGTTGTATTAGTTCCCCCTCTGTCACAGTTTTATATACAGAATGTATACAAAAATAACATTATAAAATTATTCCTTTAGAAAATTATTCATAACATTTAATCTGTGTAGTGTTGGTGATGATGATGATTATGATGATGATAACGGAGGAGGGGGAGCCGAAAAGTTGCATTGCTGCAGCCTGGTAGTTGGGCGAGGGGTGACAGCTTCCTCACCCTGAAGAAGTGGCATGTTATAAAACGCTGCATCAAGTGTGTGGACTTCTGGCACAGCCTAAACAACGGACGAGGAAGACGGAAAATGCATATATGATTCAGCCAGAAAACTCAAACGGAAAATATCACCTGCAGGGACGTGCATGGGGCGCTGTTACAGAAACTATCTTGGAGAAATACGCGTGTTTATAAATCTGTAGAATGAATCCAACTGTCTCAGAGTGGGGTCTATTGGCGGATTATCATAAACATGGCAATGAACCTTTAGATTCTACACATCACATGAGCCGGGGGGGGCTTTTTTGCACAGTGG